ACTGCAATGAAGATTCCAACTCCTTTATATGCAGCAATAATTTAGTAGTGTTTGTATCAAACTGTAATTTGTTACTCCAGAATTGATTTTCATAATATTTCAAGTAGTTATTGAATTTTTCCTCAGTTTCTATATCTGTTTTTAAAACACAGTTTTTATATTTTGTCAAATATTTATTACATTTCTTAATTTGTTTACTTATTTTCATATATTTTCTACTTTTTTTTTCTCTGTTAATAAGATATTTCGGTTTTTTCTTCGAAAATATAGATTTTCTAGTCTTGGAAGTATTTTTGCTGCTGTAAAGTGGGTTATCGCATAAGCTGTGGTCCATTAATTCGGCATATAACGTCATAGTTTTTTCAGCTTCTTGGTCACACATTCTACTATTTAATGTATTTATTTCATTATAAGCTTCGGCAAGTTGGCATTCCAACTCATGGATACGGTTTAACGCACTATCGTGAGCATGTCGACACTGGTCAAATGAATCGATAATAGCCTGCAGTTCGTCGCATTTACTTATCGTACTTTGATGTTGGTTGTCCAATTCCACCAATTTTTGTTTTAATATAGTATTTTTCTTTAAAATATTTGTGATTTCCACTTCCCCTTCATCTCGTTCCTGTATTAGCTTTTCACATAGCTCTTTCTTTTCTTTTAACTCAAGTACGGCCTTTTTTAATTTGAGTTCCAAGTCCTTACTGCGAGTTACCATTTTATTCGAAATAAAAAAACAACCAAGTATAAAAATAAAAATGTTAAAAATATAGGTTTATACATACATATACACATACATATACATACATATATATATATATATATAAACATACACACACATACACATACATATACATACATTACATACATATTATAATTATTGTTAAGTTGGCACTACAACAACTTAGTAACTTCGTAACCCACTGTTTGTTATTTTAAAACTTAAAGGCGATTCTCACTATTGCCTTTTAATTTTTTTCTAAACAAATTTATTTTTACGAAATGTATACGATATAGAATATTATTCTATATCGTATACATTTCTTCTTTTACTCAAATCGAAGATGAGTTTTCGTATATAACTTTTACTATAGATAACGAAATATTGTCTATATTGTGAATATTGTTTTTATTCTTGTATTAAATGCCTCACAAAAATGATAATCATGTTAACCCCATATTAATAGATGATCTTGCTATATTTTTATAGTCTTTTAATAATAGATGGTTTATTTTATATATTGCAGATCCTTTATTCATTACTCAGATAGCCATTATTACACAATACAATTAAACAACCAATCAGTGTCCACCTCTAGTGATGTTCCATATACATTAGTGATGTGATCTTACAACAGATCTTACTCGTATCTACGAGTAGTTTCCGATTCATTAGTATTATAAAGGACTTTTGAACCTATTTTAATAATTATTTTTGGAATCATACCCATATTAATTTCATATTAATTTTATCATCATTACAGTCACTGTTTATTTGCCTGGCAAAATGTTACATTTCATAATATTTTTTTGCTATAGTAACTCCATAGCATTAACAGAAATTGTAACATAAAATTTGTACGTTTGCTTATTTAAGTTTTAAAAATTTTAATAGTAATGTTATTTTACTGTAATGAGGTGAGATATTGTTTCATTTTTAGTAACACCTACTTTTTGGCCGTAACATCTTTAACTTATAGCTTTAGATTATATAGAGTGATTCCATACATATGCTTTGAGAAAAGCGGGTAAATTTTTTCATACAATATTGCGTGATAAATAGTTATGTGTTTCCTTTATAACTTCTATATTTTTTGTATTTTATAATTTTTGCATCTTTTTGTTGAGTAAAAACTCATTTTGTTTATTAAATAATTAAAAATACATTTTGTGGGTAAATGTATAAAACATTGATAAAATAAACAAGTCAGTTATTTAGTTGACAAAAAATTGATTCTGTTTTGAGTCCCTATATATAATATATACAATCTAAGCTTGTAGCTTACAAATGCGAGAGCAGCAATAATCAACACAAATTTTCTTCTAAATGTATATAATAAATTGTACAATGTAAATAATAAATTTTTAATAATAATTTACGGGTTCAAAATATATAATTTCTTTATCTTTTTTTTTTTAGATATTAGATAAAAGGAAAGAAAAATTTACATGCAGGTATTTTGACGTCGATGAGAGCATAAATTGACATAATCGTAATTAAGTTTTTTTTCACTCGTTGTTTCCAAAATACCTCACAGTTTGAAGACGAAGCCCTTTAACTTTAAACATCCTACACGGTTGCCTGTATGCAAAAGTCTTAAGTCACTCGGCGAACTATAGAAAGAGAGTATACTCAGTGTTTCTTTACGTGACAGAATCTGAAATGAGGATATCTGCAAAAGAACCAAAGTGATCGACATAGCCCGAAAGATAAGTAAGCTGAGGTGGTAATGGGCTCGTCACATAGCTCGAAGAAAGGTTCTTAAGTGGCGACTCCGTACAGGTAACGTAGTGTTAGATGATCCCCCACTAGATGCAGTGACGATTTCAAATGCATTGCAGAAAATCAGTGGATACAGATGGTTTAGTACCGTTCCTTATAGCGGTCTATGGGGTAGGTCTATGATCAGCAGTTAATAGATAAAGGTTGACATAATATATTCGTATGTTGTTTTCATTCAGAAAGTATTCCAATAAATTGTTAGGTAATAACTTTTTGGTATACTTTCCATTCAAAAGCTTTTCATGAGCAAGAGCGGTGCGAGTTGATCGGAAGTTCGGAACTACCCAAGTCGGAAGTGACCCAAAAGCAAAGCGATCACGACCGCTTTGTATAACAAATTGATGATTTGATGGTGCTAAATTGCGCATGGCAACGTTACGTTCTTTTATGTTAACTTTTAATATAAAAATAATTCTTCTTATGAAATATAGTTCATATACTTCTAGAGGGGACGTCAAAAACAATTTTTTTATGTAACTTAGAATGGCAAACAACCTGACGGCCCACCATAGACATACCAGGGTATACTGTGTCGCACATGATACTTCATGTGTTGCTATTTCTGAAGACTAAGGCCTTGGTACTTTGTAATTTCATCGCTATATCCAATTATTCAAACCGAAACAGCCATGCAAACATAACCGCTTCATGATAGAAACACGAATGGGACAGAAGCACCCAAGCAGACGATTTTTGAACAATGTTTCCCTATGATAAAAGTAGTAAAAAAACAATCAACCAAACTGATGGTTTATGCGTTATAATTTCGTACAATAGTTTCAGATCTTTGTTGAGTATGAAAACAAAACGCGTATAGCATAGTATAGTATTGATAATGTAATAAACACAAATAAATAAAATTATATTATGTGTGATGAAATTTTCTAATTACAAATTCTGAAACGCGCATTTTTTTTAGGTAATTGGGTCTTATTTGCTGATGCATTTCGCGACATTTGTAAATTTATTAAGTAAAATAACATATTAGTAGTTAATTGCTTATACAAAATTGTTTAAAATATAAGTAAAGGCATAATTTCTGCCCTATTTTGAGAAAAGAAAGTAATCACTTTCCAGTGGGGTGCGTGTACTTAATATCTTAGAGAGTAAATAAGAGATTTACGTACGATTGTGGGGGAGGGGGGAGAAAATATATAAAACGGCAGTAATTAATATATATCAGCCTTTTCATTGTTTCTGTCTACTCTAATGAGAGACAGGCGTGACAGATATGTACGTATCAGTCATTACCTGACCACTGCTGAACATAAGCCTTCCTCTTGGGGGGGAGGGCTGTCAGAAGACATGCTTGGCAGGCGGATTGGCAACCGTAGTTAGGCTTTAGACGCTACTGCCCATCTCTCGCCCTCCCTTAGTCGTCTTTTATGGCACCCACGGGAAAGGAAGGGATGGCCTATTCTATGCCGGTAACACACGGCAATGTATAATATATATATATATATATATATAAAAGGAAAGAAAGCGATGCCCTTGGATACTGTACTTCGGTTTCTCATCTTGGGGCCCTGATTTTTGGCTAGTTTACCAACTTTCCTCTTTAAGAGGGAAGATGTAAATTAAGTTTAAAAACACATATTTTTTCGATTTAAAGGGTGAGATATATATTCCTATATATATATAGAAGCATAACACTTAGTCGGGGGACACAGTATATAGTTACGTCCATGGAACTGTTCATGTCTATGGACGGTTACCAATTTTCATCAGATGGGCGATCAGCTTGTTTGCCATTCTAAAATGCATAAAAATTAACAAAATTGCAAGAATGACCGCCATTTAGGTATTTATAAGTTATATGGTAGGTAGATGAATATTGTGTTTTAAATTCATAAAATAAATTAGTAGAATTTTTTTATTATACAAGGAGCAAACGAGTTTGCGGCTTCGTCTGATGGTGTGTTGTTAACATCACCCTTAAGTAAAATACCCGCTACAACGGAGGAATTATGTAAGATATGTTTCCGGAATTGATTTGAGAAAATTTCGATGAAAATGGTAGAAATTGGACTAAAATACGTGTCATATTTTTTTATTCTACCAGAGGGAGACTTTGTACAAAGATCGTTTGCTTGGGCACCTCTGCCCCATTTGTGTTTTTACTGTGAAGCAGTTGTGTTTGCACGGCTGTGTTTCGGTTTAAAGGGTGGGATGTAACAGTGAATTAACAGGGTACACCATGTAGGAATAACACCCGAGTCCTCAGGAATGACAACGCATGGGGGGTATCATGGGCGAAACAGTATACTCTGTTATGTCCATAGTACTGCCCATGTCTATAGGCAACGGTTACCACTTTCCATCAGGTGGGCCGTCAGCTTGTATGCCATTCAAGTTAAAAGTCTAAAAAAATATTTATTGGCACTTAGTCATAAATGTTAAAATAGTATAGATACATATGGTTAATATCGATTTTATTAAAATTGTTATTGCAACTTTCTAAACTAATTAAGTTAGGTTAGAGTTTAGTAACACATACCTGTAATAAATATCGCCAAAGTAGAGATCCTCAAACTATTGGTAACTGTCATGCTTGGATATAGGGCGCTTTGTCTAATTTGCGAATGCTGCTTTTACTTATTATTAAAATGTTTTAAAATAGTTATTTAAAGTCACAAGAACAGCTATCGTGAATAGTGATAACTTTCTGATTCAGTTCGCGAACTCATTATATTTTATAACAATATTCCGTTAGTAGTTAAGAATTAAAATATATCTTTAAAAAGTTTAAAATGCTATAAAATTTATGTTATACACTTTTAATATAGTTTTTAAATTAATTCGTATTAACAAACTTTACATTCAATTAATTGAACATAACGTGAGTGGTTGTATGGCGCGTGCCGCGTTCGTCACTTTGCCGGTGGTGCAACTATTTCAGTGCTGGCTGAAGTCGCCCCATGACTTTCAGCGCCCCTCACAACCCCACCACCCTTTAGTGGTGCGCCACAGAATGGGGACAGGGAGCGTCCCGGACTATAAAGAAAGCTGTCTTGGTTCTACTAATTGAAACAATATTTGTTTCTTTCGAACAGAAAATGAAGGTGTTGTGCAAGTCAATCGGAGAGCGTGTCTGCTTTAGTAGGTATTACCTGATCGAATCACAGTTTGGTGTAGTTATTGTCGGTGTAGGTATATTTCGGTAGGCTGATAAATTGTTTGTCTAGATTTGTTTATTTAGGTTAGCATAAATATTCTATAGATTAATTTACTGATTTGTTTTTGTAGAAAATTGAATTGTTTTTTTGTAGTAGTTTAGAAATCTGCAACGATACGAAATCAGGCCAGAAATGTAAGCTTCTACAAACTGCTCATAGATTAATGTTTTTCGGGTTTTAGTTATTAGATGGATATTTTATATAAAAAAATTCTGCTTGGGTACTTTCAGCTAACTTATTTTTTATGTAAGGAGATAGTTTTTTATTAGAATTTGCAAGTTACATTATATTCATGATTATATCGACGACTAATGTCATAGAAAACATTATAAGTTGGAACTTGTTAATATGTCCTATTTAAGTAAGTACCTATTATTTAGTATATTAAAGTTTGCAGTTAAAGGATTTTCTGAAAAAAGTCCGAATTAGCAACCATCTCACATGGTTTGAGGTTCAGAATCAGAGCTATGCAAACAAATGAGGCCGCCCATTCAGTCCCTAATTGGATGGCCCGACGCAAATGTTAGTCCAGAGACAATCAAGTTGCGACATTTACCCGTCGGTTATAGACTTCGTTACCCTTCGCCACCCTCTTTATAGGCCATCCACTGGTCTGAAATAGGCAAGTAATGTACCTATAATTTTTTCTTTGTACGTAGATGTTCAAAAATATTTCAAACATATTTAGTAAAATTATGAACAGTATTAAGGTGCCAGCCTTGTTTTTTTCTAAGTATTTAAAAATACTTCCTATTACTTAGATGGCCATAGATTTTATTAATTTTGAACGACTTTTTAAACGGGAGGCAGTTCTTAATTCACTTGAAATTTTTATGTTATATTACGTTTTTTCAATTGTGAACCGATTTTATTTCCAATTATTATTTAGGTATTATGCCCGTGTTGGTCCTATATTTTTATACAGTTTATTTTTGTCTACAGAGATAATAATGACCAATTCTGCAATTTGAAGGAGGCTAGTAATAAAGCCTTGGAATTTAAATGAGCAATTTTCTTTTTATTGTCGTCGTATCTGCTGATAACTAGATGATGTAGATAAGAGATATTTTAAAGCAAATTAATATAAGAGCTCTTAACAAGACTAATAATTTTTTTTATGCAACTTAAAATGACAAACAAGCTGACGGCCCACCTGATGGAAAGTGGTAACCGGCGCCTATAGACATGAGCAGTACCATTGTCATAACAGAGTATACTGTAAATGTCAAAATAATAATTCTTAGAAATTTTATATAGACAAAACATCTAAAAATTATTGTTGTTAGAACAAAACAAGACAGCTGTCTGTCTTGTTTGTTTTGGCGAAACTACTGCACCAATTAGATGCGGTTTTAACAGTTATGCTCTCGAAAGTCTAAAATCTGGTGTGTTTTATCTTGACACGCCTTCTAGAAATGGTTAATTCTATTGGTTTTTCTATTTCTGAAATTCACGCATACAAAGTACTATAATACTATAATTAATTATCGACACCAAAAAGACATTATTAAAGATCACTGTGAGCAATATAGGACAATAACTACTAAATACTATATTAAAATATAATGTGTACTTACGAAACTTTAAACAATAAAATTAAGGACAAAGTTTGGAAAATATTAAATGAAATGTAATTATTTTGTAAACATGTTTTATTAATAACTGAAAAATGTACATTATTCATTTAAATACTACAACTTCATACATAAATTATTTAACAGGCAGTACATACATTCAGTAACAATTCGGGATATCATCTCATTTATGTGATATTTTTGCTGACTTTGATGTTAACAGAAGGAAGTCGATTTAGACGACAGGAAGATAATCAGCAAAAATATCTTATGAATGTAAGAAAGACTTATTATAATTTGGGCTTATCGAGGCACATGCACTTAACTGCAATATCGTATATTATTTACGATTGAATTTTGCATTATTTTAATAAAATACAGTGTAGATGTGCGAAATAGATAGAAATGCAACAAGAATAAATTTAGCTAGTTAAGTACCTGTGACCCGTAAATTAGAACAAAAAAAAAAGAAATGAAACGAATAGTTGATTAAGTCCGTATAAACGTCCATTGTAGGGATAGGTGGTACCTACGTACTTTGAAGGGAATAGGAAAAAGATAATAATGCAAATATCTATGGTAAAAAATTATATTTAAATAGTAAATATTGACTGATGAAACATATAGGATGTCAATAATTTTGATATTAGTATTAGTAATGATTATTGGTACGAAGTGAAATATTTGAGGATAGGTTTTAGTATAAAAAGAGGCGGATATAGTGTATTTTTATTATTATTGATTATTGGATTTTAGATTATCCATCTGAAATAATAAAATGCAGATTATGAAAGTGGGATGGTTGTTAAAATTGTTTTAACAATATTATCTATTATAAGGGTACACAATTATATCTTTATATAATGTTTTATATAAATAAACGTCGTGGTATAAATGACCGATCAATAGGTAGGTACCGAAGATAGGTGAATACAATTTCAATAAACAAATAATATAAAATGCAACTGCTCGATGTCATCCTTATGTAACGTGAAAAAGATTATAGTAGATTTTTAATAGTAGGTATTAATTTTATAAGAAACAATAGCTCGCATCAAATTCATACAAATACATAATTATCGGATTATATTTTTTTAATTCAGGAATATAGTAATTTTCATAGCACGTTAGATATATATAAAATACATTTTATATAAAAGCCAAACAATATTAATGTATTATAAACACTAAGTGGCAGTATTCGATACATGATAATAGTTTATAAAAACAAATACATTCAACAGACGCACTCTCGCTTACATCTCTTTATTAATTTAAAAATAACAATATAGCTACACACTGAAACCCTATACCTATCTAATATATTTACTGTCTATGACTATTAGGCAGGGTCCGACCGAGAATTCGGTGTCAGCTGTGAACACGAGTAACGTACAGTGTGTAGAATTAGCTAGTAATATGGATCAATCAAGTTAAAACAAAATACCTAAGTTTTATTGAAAATGAACAATTTAGTAAAGTCAACTAAACCAGTACATCACCAAAAATGACAGCAGATACATTCATACAGTGTAGGGGTGGGTAATATATAGAAATATCTATATATATTTTAGTTACAATATCTATATCCAATAACGAGTTCGTTAAAAGTCTGTTATTCAAAAAATAATTTTGGATAACAGATTTTTAATATATTCGAAAATAGATGTCCGATCGATAGGAGCGATATCGAAACGGGTGATGACCATTTTTCCCATCTATTGATGTTGTGTTTCTCTGGACATTTTCAGAGTAACCCAATATATAGATATCGGATAGATATCCATATTACCCATGCCTAATACAGTGTATTAAATGCAAATTTAATACCCTGTATGATTATATCTATACAGTATTGGATAACAGAGACGATTTATAAAAAAAAAAAAAAAAAAAAATCTGTTTAAAGAGGTAAATTAACTTTTTATGTTTAAATGTCCTTTCATACATTTCGTCTGCCGATTAGCTGGCGTCGAATGTCTGTCAAATAGTATTAAAATGTAGAATAAATTACACGTAAATACGGAAAAACCGTAAATATTCGGTTATCCAGCACCAGCAGCCGAAATGTATGAAATGACACTATTACGCAATACATTTCTACTTATGTTAAATAATAAAGCGCTATTCGGTCAGACCTTCCTATTACATATATATACATAATTTACAAATATTTCTCTACGTCTAAATATGAGGGACCGTTGAATATCAAATTCATTCACCCTAATAATTATTTATTTTACTAATTGCGCCTATTTCCGTTATCACCAAATCATATTACAAATTATCTGTAATGCTTTATTAACAGGTGCAGAAAAATAAATAAAAAAAAAAAAATTGTAACATTACATTAAATTATATATTATTGCAAATAAAACTGCTAATATTTCTGGCGAGAAAAATGATAGGTGTTTCATGGTTTCAATTTAAGGGTCCACACGTTAATTTTTATACAATATCGCTATAATAATATAAAAACTATATCAAAATTCAAATTCGGAACCTACTGTTTGTTAATGTAATAGGCCGATGAAATGCTTGTGTGCCTATAATTATAGTCGTAATACTAAATACTACATGTTTTACACATATCCACTAGTTCATACAAAAAAGATATGTATTCTAGAAATAAAATTATTATTATACACTTTTAAAACATTTGCGTTTTATTATTTAAATACGAGATCTGTTAGAAATTAATTCAATAAAGACGGTAATGTATTCGTTATAAATATATATATATAACCATATTAAGAGTTAACAAAAAAATTAAGTTAATAATTTACAATAGATTTAATCTATATTTATAATAAACGACTGGTTCGTTTATTACATATTAATTAGTCAAGGAAAGAGATATTAATTTTATAATGAAGTATTAATGAGATAGTGTGTGAACGATATCTTCCAATCGACAGCACTGTATAATATTAGAGCCCATATAAAAAATATTTCCTATTCAGTATTACAATAGTTTATGAGCATAAAAACATGTCTACGTTTAACATTACAAAAGATAATTTAAGGAAATTTTCGATATTACAAAATCTTTACCACACCGTAAGAGTATGTATTTTAACGAACGTTTATAATAATTTCGTTGGTCGTCAGTACTGAGCTGTCGTTCACCATTCTTCTATCGACAACGATCACAAGATAATAGCTACCGTTTGTTTTTATCATTGTTATACAATAATAAATGATTAATTGAATACGTACAATTGAATTAATAAAATTATAAAGTTTCATTACGTTATTTATGGACAACTGTATTCAGTGAATGTCATACAAAGGGGTTATAATCATTTTGGTTGCACGACTTTTTTTTTTGCTCGTGTATATTACTTTTATATCTTAAAATAATTCCATTAATTAGTTTGGTACCAATTTATTATTAATTTAGCAAATTTATTTTGAAGGTCAAGGTAATTTTACTATCTTGAGTACCAATTTCGGTACATTAGGATGTGTATTATTTGAGAATATTCAATAATTAGTATTAAATATTGCACATTATATGAGCATGTTTTCGCAGTATAATGTTCCGTTTGTGTGTATCGGTGTTACTGAATATGTATGTATTAATAGATATCCAGATTTGGTTCTAATGTTTAACATGATAAGATGGAGTTAGTGAATTTATAAACTTGCACCATATTGTGATTTATTTAATGGAATTTTATTAAATAGAAATGCAAATAGGAACTGATAATTAAAAAGTATCTTGTGGCCTCTAATTGGAAGAGTATTCTTAGATTTCAAACGGTACAGTCAGCAACATAAGTTTATAATACATCACATTTTTATACATACAGATAGGTGGCGCTGTGTGATATGTCACACAGTGCCATCTATTATCTATGGTTTTTACAATTAATCATTAAAGTCACAGTCCGTGCAGTAGTACTTTGATTCGTGCTAATCCTCATTCTCCATCGAGATAAATTTTGCAAAAATGATAAAATTCTGACATTTAAGGGTTGAATATATGTTATATTTCATTTATTTATTACAGGAATCGTATATCTGTTTTATATTTTGCTTTCTGCTGATTGTTTTATTTTTCATTCGATTATACAGTTCCTATTTCACTTTTTATGTACCAAAAACAATAAATGTCTTTTTTTTAGTTTAAATGTGTCAAGGATATTTCAAATATCAATATCATGCTATATCCAGCAGAAAGTAAAAAATGAATGCAATTCTATTTTCTCGTATCAATATGGTCGATTTTCTTACCTTCATTAATTGACTTGAGCAAACATTAACTTTGGGCTTGAATTAGAGTGTTTATTCTCAATATATATAAAATTAGAAGAAGATATAGAAATATTAAAAATATAAGACAATATTAAAAAAAGAAATAAAAAACTTTAATGTAAAAACGTTTCAATTTTTTTTTCAGACTACGTTATTTATATTTATATATTACTTGTAACGTAGGTTATTTTTTGTTAAACATTTTAACCAATTACAGACGAGGTTATGTTTAAGGTATTATTCTATTTCCATTATTTTATGTATCGTAAGTTAGTTTTCATTTCTTATCCATTACAGTTTCAACTATGGGTTACAATCGATTTGTACAGTCAATGTTGCAACCAAGTTGACATAATTGAACTATGAATATAATACAGATAATCGTGTTGAACTATATTTACTGGTCAAGTAACTCACTTTTCTATATTAATGTATAATGAACGGTGATAAATTATGGTTGAAATAACCATCACCAAACTTATTGTGGTCCAACTAATAATTTACATTACCTAAGCTAATTAACGTTCATTTCACAAAAGAAAAATTTATTACAATTTAAATTAAATAAATATAATTGCAATTAATTAATGTTCAATAATTAATTATATTATGAATTACATTTTCAGGTCAATATATTCAAATGGTATCTCGCTATATATAGATTAAAATAGAAAGAACATAAGAAAATTAAACAGAAAAATCACTTTAATATTTTACAATAACAGTTCGTGAGAGAAAAACAAAGGCTGTATTTAACAACTTATTAAATAGCACGAAATATTTAGTAACGGCATTGCCCTCAACACAATTTGACGCTCGTCCAATTGGGATGCAATCTGGTTGTTGCCAACATTCTATTTAATAGTAAGTGGTTACACAGTTTGTTTTAACATAACTTAATGGAAATGTAAACAAATGACTACTCGATCCGATCATAAGAAGGTCTCCAATAATATCCAATAGTAGTCCGAATATAAAATCGATCATTGATTTAATTTTAATATAATATCTACCGGTTTAACTTACGTGTAATTAGATTGAGAAAGTTCTACTAGTTTCGGAATCAATTCGTGATCCTTAGTCATGAGTCATCATTCATTTAATTACTTTGATTTATTACTAATATCTTTTAGTGTTTTTTATGATAATTTCAACAAACCCTTTTCATGAAGTTATATTGAAACATACTGTACATAAAATACGCCTATGAAATAAAATATTGGGCGTAATGCGAAATGCTTTTACATGTACGGGTCCTTTTAGACAAGTGATAAACAAATATATCGATGGATACGTTATCGCTACCGCATGCATAAGACAGAGAGGGTATACGCTAACAAAAACGTTTATTTAAACTTTTATCGATAGATTCATTTACCTGTTGTCTATGTTCATATGAGAATACACACTTAGTTGCCGGGCAAATTAACAGCCGGTACATGCAAAGCACAAAAGGTATTACACTCAGAAATCCCGTGATGTATATGTTAATGATGTATAACAAAAGGAATATGTTCAAAATTATTCTTCACGGAAATCAATTATCATAGTTTTTTAATAAAAAAATAAATAAATAAAATTTGTGATAACAAAATATACATATATTAACGCCAACAGACAGTATTTTCGTTTAAAATTAATATAATAAATAATAGAATAAACAAAAGAATCAGCATAAACAAATCCTGATGATTTCAGTCTATGCATTATATCTATCTCTGTCTAAATCAGCCTCTGTACGTACATAATCTTAAATTGGATGCGTGCGCGTACATTATTCATTGATCTTAACATCTGACCAATACTATCATTGAATTTCTAATTGTAATTCCTTCACAAATAATTTGAATGCAAATAAATATACAATCATTATCTAGAAGAATTGTCGTTTTTCATCTCAACAATATACTGTGACGAATCATAGTTTTATTTAACTACATCTCACATAAGAAAACTATACAACTAATTTACAACAAATAAATTACGACACTTATATTAATCATCATATATTTTGTTTCAATAAATGTTATGTCATTGTGTTATTAAAAAAACATCACATTGTAAAATGCGAGAAAAGATCATTGTTATCCTTTTGATAGTAGATTAATAAAGACTGTATTGATCATGAATTGTAGGATTCCAATTCTGATGGCCCTGCGCAAACGATGGACATTTTGTTTGCAGAGAAAAGCTTTTATGTAAGCAGAGTATTTGTACAACATGCGTGTAGAATGCAATTTTAACCACCTATTGTATATGAGTATAGTAGCCGTATGGTCCCGGAATAGCCGCGTGGTCCCGGCATAGAATAGGCCACCCCTTCCTTTCCCGTGGATGCCGTAAAAGTCGATTAAGGGAGGGCGAGGGATGGGCAGCAGCGTCCCTCTTAAAACATCACCAAAGACTAACTGCGGTTGTCAACCCGACTGCAAAGCAAGCAGTTACTGGCAAAATCCACCAAGAAGAAGGTCTATGTTCAGCATTGGACAGTTAACGAATGATATCATCATTATGGACATCAGAAAACACACATTCTATCCCGTCCGTGTCTATATGCTTTTACCTGTCACACTTATTCCTCTAAACAAAATACAAACGGATCTATTGATAGAATCGTTATCGCTAACAAGTCTACGACATGCGCTGTCTAGTTCTTTCTCATACAGGCGCTGATCGAAGCCTGATCTTGACCTTGTTCGTTTGTACCTTGTCTACTGGGGCAGATAGCATAAAAAATAGTTTTACATATTTGATACTTTATAAGAGAATACAGCGTGAGTAATTTTTATATTCGATATTCATATTTAATTTAGATTACATTAGTTTTAATAATTTTTTTTTTATACAACTTAGAATGGCAAACAAGCTGACGGCCCACCTGATGGAAAGTGGTAACCGTCGCCTATAGACATGAGCAGTACCATGGACATAACAGAGTATACTATTTCGCCCATGATACCCCCCATGCGTTGCCATTCCTGAGGACTCAGGTGTTATTCCTCTGTACCCAGTAAATTCACGCCATATCCCACCCTTCAAACCGAAACACAGCCATGCAAACACAACTGCTTCACGGTTGAAACACGAATGGGACAGAGGTACCCAAGCATTCGACTTTTGTACAAAGTCTCCCTCTGGTTAGCATTCACCATTCCTCACCATTTCTCAGTTATGCAATATTTTGCTACTCTGTCTTAGGTGCCAATATTTTTTTAATCAATTTTTATTATGCAGTTTCAGCTGAATACAATTATGGCACGTTATTTTAAAATTGGAAACATCGGTAGAATAACAATGATCAGTCGTTTCATATAAATGATTAGAATTATAGCCATGACATAACGAGTTACAATTGAGTACTTTCGCCTGGATGTATCCTCTCCAACCACTTACTACCTCATAGGCGACTGTATTAATAAATACGCGGTAAACTCAATAAAACAATTAGCTAGTGTTTACACCCGGTTGTCTTCGTTCCCCAGGTCGATGGACTTGTCGGCCGCTCTGTACAGTGGGTTCTTGTTCTTGATTGGAAGAGGATGCGCCTCTGTGTTGAGCACCCACTCGTCGAGGGGTAATATCGAGTCGTCAGCGAATAGGAGGTATAAATACTGGAACAAGGAATGAATCATTGCTTTATATATATCATACAGTATTGTCAATATAAACTTGTATGACATATTAATTATTTATTAAAAATTTGCAATTATTATTCATATTATTCATTTATATACATACAAATATATGATAAAAGGGGGAAGGGACTTTTAGTAATGGGAAGGTTAGTCTCCATAGCTATTAATATACCTTATCAGGTACCTCCAAGCGGTTCCCCCTGAAAACCATCGTGACTAATTTATCGTTGAATTCGTCACGATGGACTAACTGACCTGCCTTTTTATCCTCACCAATCATCTCTCACTGCAGTGTATACTGATAGCGCAGGCAGTGTAACCATTCTATTATCATCCATTAAAAAAATATATATAATAAAAATTATAGTTTAATAATTAAAGATTGTGTAAAAAAAAAAAACCCAATTTAATAGAGGTAAAACCAGTTATTTAAATTTCAAAACTAAATTACTGAAGCAATTTTAATAAAAATTTTATAGGATCAATCTGTAAGTAAATTCTTTGAGATAAAAAAGAATTTTCCAAATTCGTTCAGTACTAACAGAGTTATAAGGGAACGAACATAACAAAAATACAACCGAATTTAGAATGTTCTAAAGTCGGTTGAAAATTGTAAAATATATGTTTTGATAAATAAAGAAATTATTACAAAAAAGATTGTAAATTGTGTAAATTTATCATTTATCAGTGAATGAAATTGTACTAGTAGGTAAATTTTTCTAGCTTTTATAAAAACATGTTCTGTGATTTGTCACAATCTACATGTTACATGTGGATGTCTTTGATATTACAAGTGTTAATGGGATTTTTTTTATCACTGAGGTGGCAGCAATCAAGCATACGGCCCACTTGATGGTAAGTGGTTACCGTAGCCTATGAACGCCTGCATTACCAGGGGTATTACGCGCGTGTTGCCGACCCTGAAGAAAACTCTTAACCTCCCTTTTTGAAGAACCCCATGCTTTAGTCACTTGGGAAAACCTCGGCAGGGAGCATTCTATAACCCGAGCGTTCATGGGAGAAAACATCTCTAAAATCGCGTTGTACGAATTTCGATTACCTGATTACCGCCATTTTGTGAAAAAGAAACGCGTAAATTTAAAATTAAAATATATGCTTGATTGTACTATTTGTTGTATAACAAAATGTACTGAAATTGAATTAAATAATCACCTTGAGCGTTTCTGCAAGGAAGAAGCTCTGCTGCACATCGTCGCCCTGAGGGTTCTGGTGGTAAACGTTGACAATACCCGTGTAGCCGCCCTCCACGCGGCAGTGTTTCTCCAGCGCCTATCACAAAAACGTTCATTATGTTTACTAGTCATCCACGTTCCTAAAGGGGGAGCAGACAGAGGCCTCGGTCTTACACCTTTACCCAGGCTTTGTCTTCAGGTCAAATTTTTTTTTATTTATTGAGGCAAATAAACAGATTTTACAGCATCTGTGACCATTATATAATAAATATACCATCCAATCAAATTTGTATACATTAATTCGAATGCTGGTGAAAGAGTACAAAATAAATTGTGTTCCAGAAAAAAAAATAGAATAAACCAATTTCAACTGTGACAAATATCAGTTATTTTGATTTCAAAACTAAACTACTGATATTTTTAAATTTCTATGGGACCAATCCGTAAGTATATTATTTCAAATAAGAAAAAAAGACTTTTTCAAATAGGTTTACAACTGACGGAGTAACAAACATAGTTATACAACCGAATTAAGAACCTTTTTTTTGAAGTAGGTTGAAAATTTAATTTCACTAACTGTACTTTTATTAATAACGTTATAGCGGGATTATGATTCTTTTATAAACATATTAATGTAGTAAATTAATGAAGAATGAATGGAGATGTCGGTAGGGGCCGCCCTAGACGGACGTATATCGACTAAATAGGCGACGTGCTGAAGAAGGGCCAAATTAAAAGTACCCGTAACCGGCGAGCGTGTATGAAAAGATTGATGAATGTGGAAGAAGCGAAATTTGTTTGAATCGAAGCATTTGGCGTTCCATTGTTTCTGCCTACCCTAATGGGAGACAGGCGTGACAGATATGCATGTATGTATGTATTAATGTAGTAAATTTATAATGAGATGTAAAAATATAAATTTTAGGAATAAGGCGATAAATCCTAACCTGCACTGCCTCCCAGCCCCAGTCGCGGTACTTCTGCTCCTTAGTGAGCCGCCACATGATGAAGTAGCTCTCGAAGGTCTCCGGCCTCAAGAGGTACACCTTCTCATTACTCTTCTGTGCTCGAGCCTCGACAGCGCCCGTGAATCTGCAATGTTTGTAATTTACGAGGTGTTTTATCACTGGATACTTTTTATTTATTTTATTTAATACTTTATTGTACACACTAATTATACATTAAAATATGACATGAAGTAATCAAATGTACAAAGGCGAGCTTTTTTATTGTTACCTGTATTCGATGAAAAACATTTAATTTTGTTTATTTTCAATAGAAAAAAAGCGGCAAAGGCCTCTATGCTCATATACTTTCTTGTTTCATACATAACTCGACGTCTATGATTATGGTGGCATGAATGTACTTAAATGCCAGTTCCAAACACTTTTAACTAGGGGGGAAAGGGATTGTTAGTAATGGGTTCTGAATGCCCCCTTGCTAGCAATGTGTCCTATCAGGTCGATCTCCACGCGGTTCCCCCTGGAAACCATCGTAGTTAAATCTTGTTATTTCGTCACTATGGGCTAACTGATCTGTTACCACTCTCACCTATAATCTCTCACTGGTGCTTCGCCAGAGAATACAGATAGATCAGGTAAGTTTGCCTTTCCCTTCATCATCATCATCATATCAGACTTTAACTGACCACTGCATAAGCCTTTTCTTGGGATATTTTGCCAATAGTTACCACGTTTGGCAGGCGGATTAACTATGGCAGTTAAGTTTTAGAGATGTTTTAAGAGGGACGCTGTTATCCATTGCTCGCCTTCCTTTAGCCGACTCTTACGACACCCACGGGAAAGTAACGGGTGGCATATTCTATGCCTATAGATATATATATGGATCACATGGTCAATACATTGCTATTTCATTATCATCCATATAATAAAAAGAAACACTCCTGATTTCAACCTATTTAATAAACATTGTCAGACAATGCACACTCGAGACTGATGGTTGTGTTGTGCAAAGCACGGATTACACAAAAAAATAAATAAATACTATACTTTTTTTAATACAACTTAGAATGGTAAACAAGCGGCCCACCGGATGGAAAGTGGTAACCGTCGCCTATAGACATGAAGCAGTACCATGGACATAACAGAGTACACTGTTTCGCCCATGATACAAAGTGAAATTTTGCTAACATGCAAATCATCCATCGTTTACGCAGGCCTTTAGTGCTTTTTAATGGGACCTCGCTTTCTCTTTTTGTAATTACATATACGAGTAGGTATGCATGTAAATCTTTTTTTTTTTAGTATATCAGTTTAATTTTTTGCTATATCAGACACTCGACATTGCACCATAAATCTATCGGTCATGAGATATATGGCAGGCGAAGCTCACCTGAACGCCTCGGGCCCGAGCCGCGTCTCGGAGCGCGCGTAGCTCTCGTGGCAGGTGTGCGTGAGTTTGCGTGCCACGTCCATGTACCGTTCCGATAATGAGTTCTCTAGCGTAGTGGACGCCAGTGCGAACATGCCGCCTGCAAATTAAACAATAATAAATTAATCTTACTAAAATATTAAAACTGTAATTATATTACGTGGTTAACACATTTTCAACATACGCTTGTCGCACTAACTTAGGATTCAATTCTCCCCTCAACAGAATTTTATTATCCTATAATAAAGCTGTAAACGTTGACCATGATATCGACATCTTTGGTAATTCTTTAGTGCAGTTTACTAGGCTTATTAATAATATGGATTGGTAATTGGGTCTTCTCTAATATAATTGTTACTTAGTATACATTGACGCTTATCTGTGAGAGCTGTATCCACCTTTAATTGATATGTTCATATAGCCTAAAGCTTGATAGTGAGGAGTGAGATGTTTTTGTTCAAGTAAACTTAGATTTAAGCATTTTTAATAGTAGTTTTTCACTTTTTACTTGCTTATATCATTGTACATTGTCTGCTTAATTGTAGTGAGCATATTGTTGGTGTGTCTTTTATTAATAAACAAATATTTAAGAAAAAAAAAATAACTTGTAGGATGACCCCCCTCCCCCACACTATATGGAGTGACGATCTCAAATGCATTGCATGAAGTCAGTGAATGCAGGTGACTCAGAACCGTTCCTTATGGCAGTCTATGAGAGAGACCTATGTGTTCAGCAATGAACATATAATAGCTGAGATGGTGACAAATATGAGAAGTCTCAATAACACCAATAGATGCTATAATAATATTTTTTAGAAAATTTCTATCTATCCGTCTGCTTGTCCCTATGTTTGTCCCGGCATCACGTAATAACAACAGGACCAAATTGGATTCTTCAAATCTGGTGCATGTTTGATCTTTACACGCCATCTCATCAGTGGTCTATTTCATTCTCCAACTTCTTAGTTCATGTCCAAGTCCACGCTTACAAAGTAAAGGGGAAAAGCCAATGTATAAATAAAAATGATCCATTTTTCTTTTTCTCATATAAATCATGTTAGCCGCCAACTCAAATATTATAAATATTGACGTCAAACACATCAATCAAATTTTGACAGAATGACGTCTTTAGGGTCAGCTAGTGAACTTATTTTTATCTATTTATCTTCATTACTAGCTGTCTGTCCCGACTTTGCTCGCGTACATCAATATAAAACTATCCTACGTGTTCAGTTCCTATATAACCCATCAAAGCAATCAAATTTCTTTCAAATCCATTCAGTCGTTTAAGCGTGATTGAATAACATCCAAACATTTGTACAAACTTTTCTATTTACAGTACTAGTAGGATTATTTATTTTCTTTTATGGGAATAAAAGCAACCAATGGCCTTTATGTGTATAGCAATTTCATAATGATTATTTTAGACCTTAAGGGGCTAATGAGTAAAAAACTAATTCATTGTCACAAAATTATAATACTAGTAAAAATTAGACCATATTATTATTTTCAATCAACTTCAAAAAAGACGTAATCAATTGTATTTATTTTGTATTGTATTTTTAATGTTTGTTATCTTATAACTTCGTCAGTTGTAAACCGATGTGGTATTTTTTTTATCTGAAAGGATATTACAGATTGGTCACATAGAAATTTTATTAAAGTCGGTTTAGTAGTTTAGTTATTATATAAAAATAACTGGTTTTGTCACAATTGAAGTCGGTTTGTTTTTGTTATTCAAAATCTTAAATTATAATTTGTTTTATTTGAAATATTTAATATGTTTTCTACATTTTTTAAATAAATAGTTGTTGAATGAGTGCAAGTAAATATACAAGAGATAAAAAGTGTGTAACCGTGTTATATAGAAACAGTAAGAAGAAGACAATGAAAATGGTTCAACCGTTTTTCATTGTTTGGTTGTAGACACACACACAGACAATAGGTATGAAAACAAAAGTGACTTTTTGCAAGATATGTACAGTACAGTTAATGCTGTCTATCGAAACAGTAAAATATTAAAACATCTGTTAAAAACTGACAAGAAAAAAAAATCAAATAAAACTAATGTTCGTAAATGAACACAAGAAAGTAATAAAAAACAAGACTTTAAATTCTTAAGTAAAATTTCTGCAGAAGATATTTAATAGCATATATCTGTCATATTTATTTTATACATTCTCGGCTTGTGGCCTACAGCGCTTGCACGGTGTATGCGTTTTTATGTAATGCTCGCAATTTATTAAAAATCATTAAGTCGTTTAAGTCGCCATTTGTTAAAATTCATTAAGCCATTTAGATGACATATTGCATATACATACAAAGAATACAGGTAAATCCTGAACATGGTACCTTCTTTACTTTTTTTCATTACATTTTCCGTAAGTGCGTCTACACTCCACTTTGGATAACTGAGATTTAGAACGTGATAAAATTTTTCAATCCAATAATAATTAAGGTGGATTTATAACGTAAGATTGATAGTGTCTCTCTGTATCTCCTACCAAAGTTTAAACAAAAATAACTGTATTTATTTTTCAAATATTTCAATAATAATTCAATTTATTAGTAGTCATGGTAAATTTGATTAAAAAGTCTTATGTAAAACTAGTATTAAAATGTTGGAATTTTATGGCAGGTAGTAAAGTGACTTCAAAAGTAAAATATAAAATACATAGGTACCAAAAAATTTTATTCATTAATTTATGCGATATTTGTTCTATGATTAACGTTTTACAGCAAGAGGTCTCTTAAATATTGAGAATTCTTTCACTGTTTTTTTAATGTAACAAATACTCCTTATATAGACGCTGCTAATCCCTAAAGAACCCATTTTCTTTAGCTGTAACAGTATATACCTAATACCTGTTTAAATTAAACATAGTTCATAATCCTCAGGAATAGCGACACATGAAACGTATTATGGACGTCACAGAGTATCAATATATTGTTTTGAGCATGATGCCCCCGAGGTGTTGCCATTCCTGAAGACTCAAGTGTTATTCCTCTGTTGCCTGTAAATTCACTGCCATATCCCAATCTTCAAACCCTAACACAATTATGCAGACACGACTGCTTCACGGTAGAAACACGAATTGGACAAAGGTACCCAAGCAAACGACTTTTGTACAGTCTCCCTCTGGTAAATAGTTATGTTCATGTCTATTGGCGACTTTTATAATATTTCATTAGATGAGTACTTTGTTTGTCATTCTAAATTGTATAAAAAAAAAAGTAATAAACTCACCAGCGAAACACGAGAGATGGTCCATCTTTTCCTCATACACTCTGCCGTATCTGAGCTCGGCAAGGTACGAGAGTCCCGATGGGGACACCCGGAGCATCTTGTCGAGGGCCGCCTGCATCGCTGTGTCGAACATGAGACGGGCTTGCTCGTCCTCGCGGTTCGACAGCAGCCACGCCTTCAGTAGGTACTCGTAGAAAGAGTCGCCTAATGCACCCAGTGACACGTGTCCTGCGAGAAAATATATTTTATTTTTTGGTAGTTGGGTAGCTTTGTTATTTCCGGTAGGTGTCGTAAAAGGAGACTAAGAGAGGTCGAGGGATGGACAGCAGCGACTCTCTTAAGACATCTCCAAAGCCTAAATACGGTTGCCAATCCGCCTGCCAAGCGTAACGACTACTGGCAAAACCCCTTAAGGGGGAGGCTTATGTTCAGCAGTGGATACTTAAAGACTGATATGATAATAATTAAATAAATAAAATTCTATACTGCACTAAATATAATAAATATAATAAAATAAAATGATAAAAAAGGGATAAAAAATACCTATATTTATGGCGATTTTTCAAATGGCTGTATCTTTGATAAAAATGGTCCGTATTGGAGTAAAAAGAAGCAAAACTTGAATTTTCTAAATTTAGGATCTTTCAAAAAAAAATCGCTAAAAATTTAGATTTTTCTTTGATCTCTTAGTTTTTCCGCTAGTGTAATTTGAGGATAGTATTGAAGTAATGGTGCATTCTATGGGGTCAGACATTTAAAGGGTTGTTGTGGTGCGTGAATGGGAAGAAACGTTTATTACATTGTATAAATACAATTAAACCCAGTTACCTGTACACGTATACTATTACCCGTACCCATATAACTGTCGCTTAATGCCTGTATACTTAATTCGGTTATGTGCTGTACTTGGTTACTTAGATAATAAGTTTATACAATGAAAAATAAAACCACAATCAGGATTTCGTTGTCAAACAGTTCGCCGTCAGTACAACTAGAAGCGGATTATACTGGAACTTGCTTTAATTAGCGTTTCCATGACAACCTCCGCAGCGCCAGTGGTCAACCATCTTACTAAGTCCCGGGTTCGATTATCGACCGAACCAATTTAGAATACGAACCGGACGAATTTGCATAAATTGGTACAGCTCTATTCGCGTTATGAGGCAGATGGGCCGTCGTCTAATTTATTACAGTAAAAATAACTTTGAAAACCAAACGATCGCGTGAGGTAATCCTACACTACTGCATTTATTTGTACAGGTTTCCAATACATTAAATTAAATAAATAGGACAACACTTACTCTGTCCCCACTGTCCGGTCCGTGGATTTATGAAGTTTGGATACAAGTCGTTCGGTTTCTCTATATTGTAGAGGACATCGCGGATTCTATCCACTTTCTGCTTGTACACTGTAAAAAAAAACATTAATTTACGTTTACAAAGCGACAACTAATCAATATGTCTACTGGCTGGTGACAATAATAACCTCGCTACCTATCATTCAATATATCTATATAGGTAAAGCACTCGTATATTATATTCTACGACAATGGTAATAGATATTATTATTACAATAACTGCTAGTAAACTGTGAGTTTCATAAATCAACTGTGTCATACTAGCATTCGTTTTATTTTAAAATAGTCTCTCATTTTATTTTAATAGCATGCATAAGAGTATAGTTTGTTTGTAATAGAAGCTGGTTTTAAAAAACAACTCCTTTCATATGATAAGTTTTTATTTATTCACATAATCTCAAAGAATTCTTCATCGTACTGTTATAAATTGTAATTAAAAAGAAAATAATAATATACTTATTAAAGAAAAAAAAAAAACGCTCATCTTTTAAATATTGTAATGTAGATTTAACGTTACAGTTAACATGAACAAAATGAAGGTTTATTGACCACATCTAAAATTGACTCAATACTAACACGCCATGCCGTGAACCGCCGGATGGACTTTTTAATTGGGCTTCAGATTTCAACCGGCCAGTATCCCAATGCACTCACTCTATTTACTCTTACATTTTGGTATTGAATATTATGTATCCATAATTTCAAAATACAATTACTTAAATTGTTATAATTTAAGTTGAAAATAATTACATTGATAACAGAAATAAAATAATTTGGGTTGTAATACAGAAAATTAGCAATTGGCTGGATTAAGATTGGGAATAGTATTCAATTATTTACAGCTACCTCGGTATTTGTTTTCAGGATTCATATTTAAGTGTTCAAGTTTCGTTCTTAATTTTATTGGGAATACCTTTTGTCTATTACAATAAAGCCCACGATGTCCTAAAATATATTAAGGTACAATGGGATTGGCATGCCTAAAGTTTTCCAGCGAATAGAATTATAAATAACGGAACATTATTTTCTCTTTTTACTTGTGATATATATATATATATATATATACAGAATTCAAATAAACAATGCAATCAGGGATTAACCATGACCGAGTCAGTATACAAAAAGTAATATTCTGTTAGTCGCGATACCTTTTATAAAGAATAAGAATGATAGAAATTATATTTGACAGCATTTCAGTCATCATTTTAACATCAAGATTATGTTTTATTCGTCCCCCGAAATTTCGGATAAACTCACGTAGTAATTCAACTGTTCAATGTATGTTCAATATGTGCTGTACAACTAATATTACACCAGCAAGAAGCAATCAATAGGATAATACACTATATACTTCCAGTAGATTTTTATTTTTATTGTATACTGCTAACATCTTTGATTTAATCCGAGTTGTCATTAACATTTTGTAGATATATTCCCTAGTTCTCATTAATATGACTTACCATCTCGGCCAGTGATTTCACTTAAGTAGGTGAACTCCAAGTGTAAGGTGCCTACTTCTGACAATATGCTGTTGGGACCTGCCCAGTGATACTGTCTGCTTCCCTGAAATGTTAACATAACAATTAGGATATGCTAGATAACATTTCTTTTAGAATATTTCATACTTAATGATCAGATGCATAATTAAAGATGTTCCTGTAAACTTAAAATTTTATTTTATCCACTGTTGAACAGTATCTTGAATATGAAATGATGTTTCAATCAGAAAAGACAGTTTCAATTTGGAACAATAAGTAAGTTTATTTCATATTATTTTACATTACAGAAAAGAGTGAAGCGCCGAATGAAGATCAGGAAAGCCGAGCCCACTATTTACACATTGCACCAGAAATTCGATTTTATATTATAGTAACGTTTGCCTATAACATTGTACGTGTAGATTTTATGTATTAAGATAAAAATATTCATCAAATTTTAAGTCACACCTGCAGGTACACAACTATGAAAACTGCATCCAATACAGTGCAGTATTTTTGTGTAATGCCGCAACGAACATGCATACAGACTGTTTATGAGCCCTCATATCAAATTTTCTTAAATGTTTCTTATGTACGGACATTATACAGTTATAATTTTTTTTATATATATGTATTACATATATTTGATGATAATGTGTCTATAAATTTAGATTCTACTCTACTTTTTCTAGTCACTTGTATTGGTTGTGACTCCATCATGAATCCCCATGGAATAAGAAATTAATTATGTAACTCATTTGCTAACAATTCTTGTTTGGAACACATTGAAATTGACAGCTTTGTAATTAGGAGGGTACTCTTTGACAGTTTCAGCTCGAAGCGGAATTACAGTTTACAACTGAAATTGTCAAATGATGCATCCATCATCGCAAAAGCGTCAGCCCCAATTTGTTTCAAATATAGAATATTTATTTCAAACAAATTAAAACTGACTCAACAGTTACAATGGAGCTGTAAAAGAGATGAGGTTATAGCTTATTAGATATACATTGACTACTTTTTTATAAGACTCAATTGATATAAATAAAATAACTTGCCCTTCTCAATCCCAAATATAACGTATATATTAAATTTAATATCGGTTGGTTGAGACGTAAAGGCGTCTATAGGTATGAAATACTATTACGTTTATAACATTAGTAAGAATTTTATCTCTCCTATATAGGTTTAAAAAGTTTTTGTAAGAATTCCTATTCAGTTGAAAGTATAATGTAAGTGCTTATGATAAGGGTGCTTAAGACGAGACGTATTTTGCTAACGCCATCCTCGCCGGTGTCGGACAGCTGTCGAGTAGCAGTCAACGCGTAGTTTCCTATGTCTTTGTCAAAGTACCGGCTGTCTGTATGAGCTCTGATGAAGGGATTTGGAAACCAATCTACGAAAATTTCTTTATAAGTTATTTTTTTATCATTTATAGTTTTTTAATGTGGCATAGTATACTTCTTTGATTTTTAATACTGACAGATTGACCGAAAATTATGATGATGTAAATTGTGCTTTTCACGTGAAAAACGTGCAATAGGCGCGATTTATTCTATGGTTAATCATCAATCACTAAGAGAGGAATTTAAATATTCTTATCGTATTTTCACAATACATATACAAAGCATTTTGTATATATGCAAGAGTATCTGTTACAAATACAATTATAGATACAAATTCAAGCTTGCTGTTCCGTAGTATTGTTTAGAAAAAAAAATAATAGATCTTTTATGACAATGGGTGTTAAATGAATAAATAAATAAGTAACCGAAGGATACTTTCTACCTTTTAATAAATTTAAAATTGTTATAAAAAACACTTATTGAACAATGCCCTATTACATACTAAACGATACTTGATGTGCATTTCGTTAGTCGCTCATGCACGAGTTTTTAAATTATGTATGTGTATTGAGTATGTATGTATTGATTAACATATAATGGTAACAGAGATATAAAAGAGTAACTGTTGAGTTTCTTGCGGGTTCTTCTCAGCTTCTCATGACGATTTAAAAGTGCTTGGAAAACAAATATATTTGATTAAAAATGATTTAATTTAATGGATTATAATAGAATGGAATCCACCTTCGCTATTGATTTACGCTAGTGCGGTACTAATATGAGGTGTCGTTAAAGATGAAGTTACAAATTTTTTTACTGAACTAGGTGTTATGTTGCGGAAGTCCATATCAATGGTTATTTGATTAGAATATTTTGTTTAATTCCGCTGTATATACATAGAAGTCGATTGCTTCTGTACCTTTGTCCTATTCGTGTTTCAACCGTGAAGCAGTTGTATTTGCATGGCTGTGTTTTGGTTTAAAGGGTGGGATATGGCGTGAATTTACTGGGTACAGAGGAATAATACCCGAGTCCTCAGTAATGGCAACGCATGAGGGGTATCATGGGCGAAACAGTATACTCTGTTATGTCCATGGTACTGCTCATGTCTATAGGCGACGGTTACCACTTTCCATCAGGTGGGCCGTCAGCTTGTTTGCTATTCTAAGTTATATAAAAAAAAAGGTTGGCGAACTTCTAATAGTAACAGTAGTACACAAGTAATGGTAGCGGAATTAAAGAAAACAACTCTATTCAAATAATCAGTGTTTACGTAACAGTTTGTCTATAGTAATGGATTTATTAGGAATTAATAACCATGTTATGCAGGGTGGACTGCGTGAAAGTCGACCTGACAGGGTATAACAATAAGGCTGCTTAACATCGCTACTAGCAGTTCCTTTTATTCCCCTCTCGTCACATCACTACATAGTATAAAACAAAGTCGCTGTCGCTGTCTGTCCGTCTCTCTCGTATCTCTTAAGAATAACTCACAATAGCCATTTTTTATCCTTTACATTTTACGGGAAAAAATGGCTTATTTACGATGTGATTTTAAGCAATACAGCATTATTTTTTATCCAATTAAGTACCTTAAATACATTGTCCATTTAATATAGATGAATATGGCCCTTTATAGCATGTAATTTAAATGAATATTTTTGAAGATATTACAGATTTAAAATGTAGGGACATAGTAGTGTGGCACTGCACCCGTGCGAAGCCGGGGCGGGTCGCTAGTTTAATTTAAAAGTCAATAAAAAAAATTATACTAGAGAAGTTGCAAACATCTTTTTTTAAAAAAAAAAAAAAAAGTTTGTTGTATTGCCGGTCTCCACAATGATTTGAAATTACAGTGGAAAAAAAAAGAAAATCTCAAATAGGTACATTGATATCCGTTTATCCATAATACGTTATATATCAAAACCAGAGCTGATGTTACTTTATGTAACTAAATTATATAACGCTCGATATCTATGAATATAATCGCATACTATTTGTCACGCAATGGTTAACAACGGCAAAACAAATACAGTATTAAATAAATATATGGTGTTCTGTTAACCAGTGTAGGCAACCACCATTAGCAAGAAAATGAACGTAAACCCATATCAGAAATTAGGTGTAATGTACCCTGCGGTTATGACCACATACATTAGTGTATAAAATATACTAAGCGTAAAAATTTAAGATACTTTCACTTTATGTACTCATAGAATATGATTTAACTGTGCGTGTGATATGGTTTATCTGTGTACTACTTCATTCTAATCCATTAAGTCAATTGATTTATAAACTTTCCACATTATAATTATTCTATCACCATCATCATATCAGCCGTTAATTGTCAGTTAATGCCCACTGCTGAACATAGACCTCCTCCATAGATTTTTTTTTGATGGGTGAAAATGGTATAGTAACCCCGCCTGCGCTAACGGGATACGCTAGCAGAGCAACAGTGAAGGGTGATAGATGAGAATGAAAACAGGCCAGTCCATTACTAACAATCCCCCCCCTCCATAGATTGCCATAAGGAACAATACCGCAAACTGCATCCACTGACTCCCTGCAATGCATTTGAGGTCGTCGCTCTAGCTAGTACATTACGTGCCCGTACGGGGTTGACACTCAAGAACCTTTCTTCCACATCGGTTCTCGGTTCTTTTCGCTTTTAACTTTAGCTTTGTAACCAGCCCACTGCCACTGCAACTTGTTTATCTTATTATTTATTTTGTTTCTACGGATATCCTCATTATGGATTTTATCACGTAAACTAACTCTGAGCCTAGCTCTCCATACTCCCTGAGTGACTTGAAGATTTTGCATGAGGACAAGGGTAATAGAAGCATGTTTCGTTCTTGTTGGTAGCCAAATCCCTTTTGGAGATTTTTCGTACCCCCTGTTCCAAAGTTACCATGACCGCTATATATATTATATTTTTTTTTATATAGTAGGTAATTTTTATCTTAATCCACATGGTCAAAGCCGCGGTTTATACCTTATACCTAATATATGAATACGAAACATCTCAGGTGTGTGACATGTAAACCAGAATCACCTGTTTTTGTTTCTTTAGTTGGGTGGATTGAAATCGAAGCCGAGCCGTTTTATAACGCAACGTGTTGCGAAATATGAAAAGTATTACTACATATTTATAAGTACACACACTTGTACTAATTTCACGGATTTTATTTAAATACTAGCTTTTCTGCTAGCTGCCCGTTACTTCGTAGACGTTGATTTCAGAAATAAGAAAACCAATGAAGTAATATCTTCTAAATGGGGTATCAAAATAAGACATACACCAAATTTTAAGTTAGACATTGAGGAGTACAATTATTAAAACCTTATCCAATTTGGTATGTGAGTACTTTTTGTGTGATATCGGAACAAACATTCAGACAATCAGACAAGATTGGGGGGAAAAGGGATTGTGAGTAATCGAGACTGAGAACCCTATTGCTAGCAATATATCCAACCAGGTCGACCTCCTCGCGGTTCCCTCTGGAAACTATCATGATTAATTCCTGATGAATTCATCATGATGGGCTAACTGGCCTGTTTTCATCCTCATTGATCACCCTTTACTGGTGCCCCGCCAGCGTATCCCATTAGCGCAGGCACGGGTTACCACTCCATTTCATCCAATAAAAAAAAAAATCAGACAAGATTTCTAAAAATTATTGTTTTGGCATTAATCGGTCTTATTAAGACCACTTATATTAATTTGACTTAAATATTT